ATATATTTATCTTTTTATTTTTTTGTGTGATTGTATATTTTAAGCACCATTGCACCAAGACAAATTCCTCGTATGTGTAAAAACCTACCTGGCAATAAATCTGATTCTGATTCTGATTCTGATTTAACTTCCTCAGGAAGGTCAAAGGTCAGAAACAGCATCCTTGAAGCTGGAAGGGATTTAGTGCTTAGTTCAGCAGGTTGCCTGCTCCCTGTCATACAGCAGTGGTTTGAAGGTCTTTTATTGATTTAACAAAACTTCTCAGGAACTGTGGAGATCAGGCCAGCTGTGCAAAATGCAGCTAAATGAAGGCTGCAGAGAAAATGTGAGATTGTTATCGAATCGAAACGCTTGAAATACAAAAATTGTCAAAATTGTCTAAATATATTTCTTCATTTTTCTTCATCATTTCTCAAACTTTGCCACCAGAATATTCCTGAAATTCAGCTTCAACAACTGTGGGATATATTTGGTGCAACAGCCAATGGTGTGCATGTGATCAGACAGTCAGACCTGTCTAACTTGAGGTTTTTATACGATATAAAATTTACACTAATAAATAAAATGTCTGCAAGTGATCACCAGAATTTTCTTCAGCTAAAAGTTAAAACAAGGACACATGAACTTACTCGACTCTGTTCTTTATAGCACCAAATTTGATGTAATCAGATCTTATTGAATTTTCATTATGTTATATGAATGCAGTCATTTGTTTGTGTCTCTTCTGCATTTAACTGTTCACTGCGAATTAAGAGGAGAGAGTCACAGATTAGACTGTATCTTCATGTTTTTTTTGTATATATACACATCACTTGACCTGTTTGCAATAATCAACGAAAATAGCTTGGGAAGAAATCCTGAAATCATTAGATTAGGGATTAGAAAAGGACAGTAAATGAATGTTAGTTGACCGTCCTCTTCCTCCTTCAGGTCTGTGGCCCAGGCACTGAAGACAGGCAAGCCTGTCAAACCAGAGCATTTCAGCGAGGTCACGCTGTACTTTAGTGATATCGTGGGCTTCACCACCATCTCAGCTCTCAGTGACCCCATCGAGGTGGTCGACCTGCTCAATGACCTTTACACACTCTTTGATGCTATCATTGGATTGCATGACGTCTACAAGGTGAGTGTTGCGGGATTGTGTTCCTGATCCTGATAATCTTGTATTTAATTTGTTTATTTTTTTAATAAAATAGTTTTAGATAAGTACATACGTTTGTATTGTTGAAACATTGTTCTGTTGCTCCTGAGTCTGATTTTAATATCTGAAAAAAAATATTTTGATACATTATATCCACTAATCAGTAAAAGTCCAGTGTGGAAATGCAGAAATGGAATATAATAAAAAAAAAAATTGTGTGTTTTCCATACCTTAGAATGAGCCTACACACTGATCCTTTAAGATAATTCCTTTATTTTGGTGGAGGCCAATACTTTCAAATTTTACAGTGTTGAACTAGTTGTATGTGTATGTGTGTGTTGATACTTTTTACGGTATTTAGGTGGAAACTATCGGAGATGCCTACATGGTAGCCTCAGGAGTCCCCACCAGGAACGGCAACCGTCATGCAGCTGAAATGGCCAACATGTCTCTTGACATCCTCCATTGCATTGGGACTTTCAAGATGAGGCACATGCCTGAACTCAAAGTCAGGATCCGTATTGGCCTGCACTCTGGTGAGCAACATGTTCCTCATTTCTGTGCTGTGATTAAACTATGCTCTAATTATGATGTACAGTAGTAAATCTTTGCCCTAAGAGTCACATACGTGTGTAATATGACATTAAATAAACTCCTTTTCAGAGTGAATAAAAATAATGCAGAGGAGTAAGAATACATGAGCACAAGCTGCTAAGTCAAGGAGGTATTTTTATCAGCCTTTATCCTTGTCTGGAACTTATTCCTGGAACAGTGAAATGCTATCCACTTAGAGCACTGTCATCCAATTAACACACTGAATACTCTGGATTTCTAACTCTATTCTATGTATTTCTTTATGCACACAGAAGTGGTAGTGAACAGCCTTAATGTAATACATTGAGGAAATAATTGTGCAGAGATTATAAAAAAGTTACTGGAAACTGTGTCTTCAAAGTTATGTAAAAAATGGTTTATGACATAAAATATTGCTTGCCAAGGAGAGGCATCTCATTAAAATGTGTGTGGCCTTGCATGCTGTCTTTGCAGGCCCAGTGGTAGCAGGAGTTGTGGGCCTTACGATGCCTCGGTACTGTCTGTTTGGAGACACTGTCAACACAGCATCAAGAATGGAGTCCACAGGGTTGCGTGAGTGTCTTGTATATCATTCTGTAGACGAGAAAGATCTTCTCTTCCTAGTCATCTGTTTTTTTTACATAGTAGAGTTGGGAAGGTGTGTAGTTTGTGTGCATGCTGCTTGAGGCTAAACAGGGCTTTAAGTGAGCAGTCCTTTCTAATCTTTTAAGACTATCAGCAGAATTAGAGTCCAATTTGAAGTTTCACTGTAAATGTCGTCAATGACCAGGTTTGCCTCAGCTACACTCGACATGCTCTATAAATTAAGTATAATCGTAAGTATTAACTACTAAGAACACTTAAAACATTATACTTTAAAAATAAAACTCACATTCGATTGTACACTACTGTTCAAAGATTTAGAGTCGCCTGCCACGAAAGCTTTATTGGGTACAGTCAGATGACTGAGGGGACTACTTAATGTATATTTTTGATTTGATCTTTCAGGCTTTAAAGCGTAGAAATATATGTCATTTTATATGAATGCTGTACAGTGGTTCAGAAACAGACAAAGATACCTCTAAGCAACAGTTAAATAATGATATAAGAAACTGGAGGTTAGTATAAAAATCTGATTTAAACAGGAACAGGTTCCTTTTTCTGTGTCAAGTGCACAATAATGCTAACACGCTGGAATTAACAGGTGTGTTGCTTTAGCAAAGCTACATTAGCACTACTAAATATAAGCTGAACATACTATGGACTGACAAATGGAAACAACATTAAAACTCTACTCACTTATGAAGAAGAGACAGTAACGCCTTTCCTCACCATTTCAACATAAATCCCCAACCAAGTTACAGTGACACTAACAAGCTCTGGGCTGGTTTTGACTGTCTTGCACTGGTGTGACTATTCAATGGAAATGTAATGTAAGGATGGCTTTACATAATGCAACTTCTGTGCAATATGCTGCTCATCTTAAACACACCCTATAAGTGTTTTGTCACAGTTTCATCCTGTTCAGTCTAACTACTGACCACAGACTACAGAGGGCCCAAAGAAAAACAGGTCCCCAAAATATTTAGAGCCCAGTTATACCATTGTGGTTCAATAATTATCTAGGATCAATAGGGTCAGTTACCCTTTCTGGACTAGAAAATACATAAAAAATCTAAACTTTGGGGGAGCAGTACTCTCCCTGTCATGTAACACTGTGGAGACATTGAGTAAATGGAAGTTTTAATCATTAATTATTCTCCTATTGGGGCCAATACTATTGTAGTGTCAGAATTATTCTGGTTTTATCAATGAGAATACAGCCATTATTGAAGGAAAGAAGGTAATTCCAAACCTCTGAATGGTGGTGCAGATCTCAGAAGATCATACTGTAATGAAACTATTCACATTTAAATAGGTCAGTGGCAGTTTCAGTCTAATTTATTTAATCTAAAATAACAATGATGTGTTTATGAATGACTAGACTATACTGAATATTTGCTATTAGGGGGGAAAGCAATGATGAGTAGTCTACTGCCACCTAGTGGCTTAATACCAAAACGGCAGTCTCACCTTCTAAATTTCTCAGATGCAATCATTTTAACCTTAAAAAAGGCCAATAAAGATTGTCATGTGTACCAATATTATCGCAATGTCAGTGAGGATGTTGATTTATTTTCTATCACAGCTTACAGAATCCATGTCAACCAAAGCACAGTTGATGTCCTGAACAGCTTGAAGCTGGGATACAAGATTGATGTCAGAGGTCTGACAGAGTTAAAGGTAAAATGTTTAAATGTTTTACAATATACACAGGACATATGGAATATACCTACTGTAGCACAGACATTATAAAAATAGCTAATGAATGGCAATGATTCTTATTTCTAGGGAAAAGGGATTGAGAACACATTTTGGTTGGTAGGAAGGGACGACTTCACCAAGCCTCTGCCTATTCCTCCAGACATTAAAGGGTAAGAGAATGTTTTGGTTTCTAGATTATTGCAGCACATCTTAATGTAATCAAATTACCTATTTGTATTAAGGGTATATCGTGTTCTGCTCTGGGTCTAAGTCATGGTACATAAAAAGCTGTATTTCCTATTACAGGGGAGGCAATCACGGTATCGCTCTAGAAGAGATACCTACTGACAGAAGACAAAAATTCCTGGATCGACAGAAGAAGATGGGCTAGACTGATGTTTTGTTTTTTTCCTGATGTCCCAGAATGAAAAGTGAAATGTGTCAGTTAAAATATACGCAGAGATGTGCGAATGAAAAGTCGAGCATTGCAACATCCAACCACAATCTACTATAATTTGTGCTATTCTCAAACTTAAATCCAGGGTGACATGAGGATTCAGACTCTTTGTATTTGTTGAAATTATTTCTATACTAAAATAATCTTGGAGATTATCATTCTCTTCATTCATAGTTTTAACACATGGTGCCACAGTAAAGGCTGACTCCAAGATGCAAAAATGAGCCAAAAAGAGGCAACTGTATATATTTTATTTGTTCATCAGTTGCTGTATACTGAAAATACAAAAGTATACATACAGCGTAATATCAACAGTTGTAACAGGTGTTAATTTAGTGGACAGTTATCTCACCTAACAAAAAGGGATTGTGATGAATGTGTCTACAAAAGATCACAGTATCATGTGTAATACTGGTGAACTTCATGTACTGTATGTATTTGTACTGATCTTTGGGCTTTGTAGAGATATTGGAGAGATTTTATTGTGAACATGCCGCATACTGCTCAACTATTCATCCTCGGTATAATAGACTACAATGTGCTGTACTCACTTTAGGAGCATTAGTCTTTTACAACAACACAGGATTAATACATTTAAAACATTTACTCAGTAATTTAAGATGGAAAGAACTGCATAGGTCAGTCAGGGTTGAGAGCTCAGATCGGAGGTAGCTGTGATTTTGCTTTTGTTGCAGCAATACTGCGATTATTCACACGTTTGATGAATGGGCCATATTATTCAAAACTGGTCAAAATATATCAAACAAAACATCTGGTTTGTTCATTTAACATTAGATTTAATTATTAAAATAGATGAAAAACATATTTCTTCTTACTACTTGGTCTCCTAAGAATATATTTTATTACTGCAATAGGCCTGTTTGAGTTGATTTGACTGATTGACTGTTTCAATCTAACTTCTCAGCTCCAATTATCCAATTGTAATTATAAAAATACAGACTGACAAAGGTATTGTTTTTTAATGATGTGTGTATTGCTCATGGCAAGCATATTGTTTTTTAATGATGTGTGTATTGCTTTTAACATACTGCTGATTTTCTACCAAAACATAGAAGATGTACACGACGTGCAAACAACTCCAACCTATTGCTGTCTAACAACAGTGCAGTTTCACTATAGCCTGTAGCCTATTACTGGAACATGCTGCATGCTGTGTGTACAACAGGGTCTTAACAGGAAAGCGATAGGAAGACCTGATTTCTGTGACATACAATTTATGTGCTCTGCACTGATATGCAGAATGTCAATTGAGTCAACTGACTGAAATGATCTCCAATATGTGCTTCAGCAGATTGAGCCTTTTCATGTGTATTGCCATCTTCTAGAGGAAAATGTCTGCCTGTGTCTGTGTCTGAGTTTTCCATACCTTATCTTCTTTTCTGGGCCCCAATCAGTGTCTGTATCTGAATGTCCTCTGGGAACAAATGTTCACAAAGAGGGGATCTTAGACGAATTTTACACAACATATGGTGGGGTGGGGTGGGGTGGGGGGGGCGCATGCATAGACAAAGTGGAGGGCAGAGTCTTCTGAGTCATTTGTCTTTGGCCTGGGGATGTGTATATACTGTACATTTTTACATAGTTTGTCTTTGTGTCCTGTGCAGGGTTAGGGAGTTTTTTTTCTGCTTGGGTTCCCTAAACCCCTGACACAAAAGGAGATATCAACAAAACACAAGGGTTTAATCACAGTGCATTGAATTACATTGTTCACTCACTCTGTGTTGGCTTGCTAATTGTCTGCCGCAGCACTGATATTGAAGCAACAATAAGCAGGCAATGTCAGGATGTGATTTTCCTCTGACAACAGTTTTCAGTCTGAGGACATTTTTTCATTGGGAGCTCACTGCTGACCACTTCTAACATACAGCGACTTGTCACAGTTAGCTCAGCGTAAGGACAATCTGATTGACTTGATTATCAGGTTGCTTGTGGTGTAGTCTTTCACACCATTAAGTGTTTAGCAGCAGCACTGGCTCTTCAAGCATGATTAAATCCCCGATGAAGAGGAAACGCCGGATTCTGAATCAAAATAAAGAACATGGGGGGAAGCTGTTTGAATGTTTCTTTGATGGGTATCTAAAGAACAAAATGAGTTATTCTATTGCATAGGTAGGACCGACTTTTTCTAGATTCTTAATCAATTTGCCAAATAGACCCCATCAATACAGAATGGATTCCATTGTTTTGAAAAGTGATCTCAGTGTGTTTCTGTAAATAAATTATGGTTTTAGTGAAGATTGTGTCTTCCTGTGTTTGCCTTATACTCCTGTATCTAAATGTGTTGAGGCGATTTTCCTGAATGGTACCCTGATAGCGCACTAAATTATGATTTAAAAGAAGTAGATCACTAAATCATAAGTTCAATAAAGATCAGTAAATCATAGTGTAGATGACAGATAATCTGTTTATAGCTTGATATTTATAAGTTAGTGGCTTTTTTCTGTCAAATCTGATTCATACGCTTCAGTTATAACAAGCTTTAAGTTTTGAAATAGCAGTGTTGTAAATGGGCAGAGCATTACTAAGGCAACAACATTAAAACTCTACTCACTTATGAAGAAGAGACAGTAACGCCTTTCCTCACCATTTCAACATAAATCCCCAACCAAGTTACAGTGACACTAACAAGCTCTGGGCTGATTTTGTCTTGCACTGGTTTTTTTTCTTCTGCAGTGAAACTATTCAATGGAAATGTAAGGACGGTTTTACATAAAGCAACTTCTGTGCAATATGCTGCTCATCGTAAACACACCCTCTAAGTGTTTTTATCACAGTTTCATCCTGAACATTGCAAATTATGGTAAATCAGATGCATTGTGTTTATTGAATGCTAAAACCTCCATCGAGCTTGCACTGTGTATCTTACAGTAACACCAGCCAACAGTAAAAACACTGATTCTGGATCAAAATAAAGGTGTTTTGATTTGGCTTCAGGTCCTGAGATCATCTTAAAAGAATCTTTAAATGCCATCACAAACTTGTCTTTCAACTGAACTCAATGTTATTATCCAAATCAGAGTTAGAACAGATCATGTCTGCACTGCTAGCAGGAATATCTACAAGTGATATCAGCGCCCCAAGGACAATGTCGGCTCAACAGCAATTCTTATTTCTGCCACTAGCAGAGGTTGCTGTGAGGACAATTTGATCAGTTTGACAGGTTGCTATGCCAAATCTTTTTTGGCACTTTTGTGGTGCAATCACACCCCTTGGATTTAACCACAGACTGTGTCCTGTAGTTGTTTGTTGCTGAGGATATAAATTAATTCAGGCCATCAATGCTTCAGTGCCTTATTCTGTCTGCATGTATGGGTAACAATATAAACAGTACACATTAAAAAGACAACTAAAACCATACTATGTGCTCTGGGAAATGCAGGTTTGTCCATCATGCTCCCATTCATGTCTTTGCTGCTCAAAACCATCCAGGTAAGCACCTTATAGGACAATGTGACAATCAACTCAACATGTTGTTGATATAGCCTATTTTACTTGTATGCTCATTATCATATATTTTAATTGGATTAAGGCACACTGTTTGTTATCACAAACTCAGCATGATATTTATTGCAGCTGATGGTAATCAATTTGAAGCAGATCACGTTTTTGTTGAAAATTATTTAGCCTACATTAAATTAAATACTACTCACTATAAATAATATAGATATAAATATAATATAAAATTACATTAATAAATCTCTCTAATAGTGTTCCTTTATAGGAGTTATTGTATTATCATATGCCCACTGTGTCCACTGTGTGTGTACATCTGCATACATGCATTCAATGACTGCATGAAATTCAACAGTACTGTATGTCCTGACCCCTCTAACAGTGTGTTCTGCAGTTGTTTCCTGCTGTCTGCCTACAGTCAGAAGGGGCAAAAATCCCCACAAAAATAAATGCTGAATTACATGACATAAGCTGTCTGATCGACCACGTGATCAGCAGTGGAGTCTTCCTCTGCTGAACACCGTGTTCCTCTGTGCACCTCATCAGTCCTTAAGCCCCACTGGCATTTGACTGGCACCGGCTTGGAGGTGCCAGTCTAGCAGAAGCTGCGTCAAGTCAGCCAGAGGGAGCCAGGGGGAGACCGGAAACGTTGCAGATCGGCTTTCACAATTAAAGCATATTGGTTGTTTGCGGTCACAACAAAACACGCAGCCGCATACTCAGGGGGGCTTGTTGAATCATGACTTTATAAGGCCAAAAATTGTATTGGGTTACTGGAATAAGCTTTTTATACAGTAATGTGGCGACAAAAGAGATGATGAGAACTAAATGTTGCAGTAATGTGTTGGGTGATTTGGAGAACATCATTGTCAATAAAGAGTTGATTGCAGCCTGCTTATAATTGTTCTTTATGACCACAGGCAAAAGTGACAAGTGTTTCGCCCAGGATTGCTGACCTTTACTGGGTAAGATTGAAAATCATGTTCTCATTCTCCTGCAGGAGACACTGACACAAAACCTGGACTCAGAACAAAATAGTCGGCGCTGAGGAGCCGGTGGGAAAAAGTATAGACATGTGCCACTGTTTGCTTGTCCTGCTCGCCATTTCCCTTGTGCCTGACCACGATAGGCGATCATGGAAACGTGCAGGAACGGATAAGCAGATAGTAGAGTTATATTTTGAAAATCGTCACCGGAAGCTCAGTTTTTATTCCGCCCGACTTGACAGTGGAGGGTATAGACCGACTGTGGGCAACCTCAGACAGGTGGAGGAGACGTCCTTAAGCAGCTGAACTGCACCGTGGTCGGACTGGGTCGGGCAGGACTGGGCTGGGCTGCAGGACGCGCAGCGGTGGACGCTGTGCACGCTCGGTGCGCGGATCCTCCTGCAGCTGCTGGATTCACAGTATGATACCAGATCCAAAACATGGTTTGGCTGATTTTCCCATCCTGAGCCTTCGCACACATGCTTGGACACTTAAATGTGGACGCGGGGAGGGCGAAGGATGTAGTTGCAATGGATTAATGAGGAGTACACATGGACTTCGATTTTTTTCCTGAGATTATTGGCTTTTGATTTTGATTTTATTTTTATCCCCCTGCCTTGGCCATGGAGAACCAAGCAGCCGAGCCGCAGAACTATGAAGATGTAGAGAAAAGCGGCTATCTCCGCAAGCATAAATCAATGCACCGGCGATTCTTCGTGCTGAGGGCGGCCTCGGAGCATGGTCCTGCTCGACTTGAGTATTATGAGAACGAGAAGAAATTCCGCAGTAAATCACCTGTGCCCAAAAAAGTCCTGAACCTGGAGACTTGCTTCAACATCAACAAGCGGGCAGATTCCAAGAACAAGCACATGATAGTCCTTTATACCCGCAGCGAGAGCTTTGCCATCGCTGCAGACAGCGAGGAGATCCAAAATGAG